TTTTTTTCCAATTGTAAAGCTTTAGAGACATGCACTGAAATATTAACGAATGAAATGATTATTTGAAAAAAAAAAAAGACTTTGATGGTCCCCATCACTCTTAGGATCAAAACCAGAGGCTTGAACCTCCGCTCCTGGGTCCTCTCCTGCCATGGTGGCTTGCTTGTGGCTGCTGCCATGTCAGGCTCTTTCCTTCTGAATGGTCTTGGCATGTGCTGTTCCTTAGAGATGCCTCTCTGATCCCTTCCCCCTCCTTGCCAGGCCAGTCCTTGTCATTTGTTGTCCTGCTGGCACATGGCAGAGGCCTGACATCTCCAGCAACAAGAGGGAACCGAGGCTCCGGCCTGTCTCCCACACCCACTTCTGCTGACTTGGCCCAGACCACTATCACTCCACCTGTGCCCTGCGGACACCCCTCACCTGACTTCTGCCTGTGCCTGGCTCGCCCTCCAAGGCCTGCTGCACATTGCACCCAGGGTGGCTTTTCTCAGGCTGGACTCGTAACTGTGATCCACTTTATGCCTTGAATACAGCCCTTGCTGCTCTGCCACTGCACTTACTTTTTAAATGGACATGTTTCTGTCTCTTCCTCTCCCCCTAATCTCTCCCCATCTCTCCTAATCTCAGGGGAAACAGGATGAACTTTCTTCCTCCCATCCTAGGCAGAGTTATCTGTCCTTGAGCACACACCCACCAGAGGAATGAAGTCATGCAGACTTTGGGGGTGGCAGAAGATCTCAAGGAAGTGACCATCTCCCAAATCCACAATGAATTACAACTCCAACAGAGAATGTACCTCTGAGTCACCTCTTGACAAGCCCCCTGTTCCTGCTGAGTGCAGAATCACAGCCTCTGGGACAGCCTGTGCTTCTCCTTTGCTAGGGAAGCAATAAACCTTCCTTTTCCCTTTTCTCAAGATTGTGTTCTGTTCTTATTATTGGATTGGAATTGGGGACAAGGACCAAGCTTTTGGCAACAGGCTCTGACTCCTATGACCCCTTGTTTGAGCTGCCAAGGGCAAGCTGAATGGATGGCAGAGAACTGAGTCCCCAGCCAGCTGCACACCTGCTTGCAGCCTGCGCACGTGACCACGGTGAGGCCTCTTTCCTGTCTTCTGCCTCTGTCCCCCGCCACCCCAGGGCTCTGCACGGAGGGGCCTGATTGTGTAGAGACTTGAAGATGTCACCCTGCCGTCATCTCTAGGTTGGACCAGAAGTCACTTCATGAATGCCCGCACCTGGGCAAAGGCCCCAGAAACAGAGAATGACCTCCAGCTGGACCTCAGGTTCCAGTCCCCACCAGGAGGAACACAGAGTCCAGTCGTGGGATTCTTGGAAGAGCTGCAGCGGGAGTTTAATGAGTGACCTGTGGTTGTTTTCCAAATCCCTGATGGTGCCTCTGCTATCAGGCGGCACTAGGGGGCCGGGCGCCTGGACAAGGCCTTGGCCAATGACAGTTCACACTGGAAAAACAGATGTGGAAAACACCCGTCTGGCTCTGGCTGCAGCTCCCCAGGCGGGCGGCGCCTCCCACCAGGTGACCCTCCCCGTGGGTGGGTGGGTGGGGGGCTGGGAGGTGGATGAGGCCTGGGTTCCGCCTGGTCTGCCACGGGCTTACTGCATGGTACTGGGCGAGTCCCCCCTTTCACCAGCCTGTGGCACAGCCTCAGATGGAAGGGGGGGACACGGACGGGGAAGGAGGGCCTGGCTGGACTCCGCAGGAACTTCCTCTCCTCCTGCCCAGGCTCTCCCGCTCCTCCTTCCCCTCCTTCCCTGGAGACTGAGGCAGGGAAGTCAAAAGGTCAGAGCCTGCCCTCAGATGGCCTGGCTGAGGCTGTGCGAGCTCAGACAGGCGGCCACCTCCTCTGAGTCCCCATTCCCTCATGTGTAGAATGGGGACCCTGTGTCTTGCTTTGGGGGTCTTGGAAGGGTAAGATGAACTCAAGCTCACAAGACACAGAGCAGGGACTTAACAAACATTCGTTTACAGTCAGGAAGGGCCCGGGTGACCCTGGGGATCAGCCAGCAGGAGCGCTGTGGGCCTGCCTTCTCTTGGGGTGGGGGAGGCCCAGCAGCCCCCAGGGCTGCGCAAAGAGGGGCCCAAGGGAGGTCCTCACAGACAAACAGGGTTGGGGGCCTGGGAACCCCTCCCCCTCCCCTCCCCCGCCTCTGCTCCACCCAGCCCGGCATCCCAGCAGGGTCTTTGTACAGCTTGGGGCAAACTAAGAACAACTTTCATGTTGTCAGTGCAAAAAATCAAAATCAGATTAAAATAATAGCAGTAGTAATAATAATGAATAAGAATAAAAAAGGAAAGGAAAAAGAAAACTTCACGACACGTGAAGATACTTGAATTGTGAGCATTCATTCCAAGAAAGTCTTACGGATGGACGGATGTCACCCACTGTGTGTGTGGCTGCTTTTGTGCCCCAAAGTACAGGCAAGCCGGGGCCAGAGATGGATATCCCGAAAGGCCAAGCGCGTTGACCACCTGGCCTTGAGGAAGTCGCAGGCACCTGGCCTAAGGGAAACCAGCTTAATAGTAATTATACATTTCAGCTCTACGTACAAACTCATCCATGACAGTACACCCAGAGCATGTGAAATACAGTCGGAACCAAATTAAAATATGCCAATTTCCTCAGGAAAAAAAAAGGGGGGAAACCAGCTTTTAAAGTAGAAGCGCCCTGGGGAGGACCCTGCAGAGGCTCCAAGGCGGGAGTCTGGGGTCCCAGTCTGACCATTAACCAGTCACCTTTCCTCAAGTGACCTGGGGCTTGTCCCCTCCTGGAGCCGCCCCTTCTCCAGCTGTAAAGTAGAAATAGCCGGCTTTCCTGTCGCCAGAGAGGTAATTAGAGGTGGCTGTGTCATGCTGAGGTGGGGGGGAGACACACCTCTCCAAAACCTCAGCAAGAGACAGCGGGAAGTCACCTAGGCAGGGGCTGCGGCCAGCCCAGGAGGAAGAGCAAGGACAGGGGTGGGGGGGGGAGGAGCAGCCCTAGGTCTGGGCTCTGCTCCCTGCGGTCTTCCCTGACTCAGACCCTGCCCCAGCGCGTGGGAGACCCGCAGGACCCTTTGCTCCCGCCTTGCCAGCCGCCTTTCTGACCCATCTCTCCCTGCCCCTGCCCTCCTTGCTCCGCGGCTGCCCCTCTCACTCAGGGCCCTGCACCCACCCGCTGTTCCCTCTGTCCAGAACGTCCTGTGGGCAGGGTTCCCTCCTTCACCGTCATCAGGTCTCTGCGCAAATGCCACCTGCTCTGCCCCACTGCCGGGGTGTAACCTGATCAATAAAAGCAGTCAGAGTGTAAGTTGTAGGTTATAGATCAGCCAAAAAAATAGAGATGTAAAGTTTTGATAAGTGAAATAAATAAAGCACGAACTGTCACAGGCAGGCCGGGGACTCCATTTTGCTGCCTTCTGTAAAAACTGTCACAGGAGCTGTGAAACAGAAACAAAAGCTGTCTTCTTATAAAAATTGTTTTCCTGCACTCTGTACCCCCCGAGTGTACTCAACTCAGGGTATGGCGGTGTCGTGGTGCGCCATGCCCTGGGTTTGAGTGCATTTATGGGTCTACATGACTTTGAAATAGATGATCGCCCGCTCAGGCTGCAACTCAGGATACGGGTGTCGAACTCTTGCTGGGACCCGGTTAACTAAGTTGTAAGCTAACTGCTTTATTAGCCTCTGTCACTCGCTTGCTTGCTGACACTGAGAAAGCCCCTGAGTTATGGTTTTCATCCTAAATTCCCAAGACACAGGCCAGGAAACTGCTGTTCTCCCACAGAGAGTCTCTACGGGTGGGGGACAGTCCCTGGCCAGGTAAATAAAGCTTGCTTCTGTTTGAATTTGGACTTTGAGTGTTTTCTGAGGCGGCTCCCCATGACACCACCAGCCCATCAAAAACTGCCCCCTAACATCTACCCACCCCCCCAACTTTACTTTCCTCCCTGGGACCCCCTCCCCAGGTCAGGGGTACACTCACTCTTCATGTCCTCCTTTGCCACCAAAACATGAAGTCAGGGTGCTAGGATGTGTGGCACTGCCAGGAGCCAGTGAATCTTGTGAATGAGTGAATGAATTTAATCAGTTCATTATAATAATTTTAATAATTAAATAATGATCTCATTTATCTGTGGAATTTTTTTGTTTGTTTTTTAGGTACAACCACTGAGCCCCATCCCCAGCTCTATTTTTTGTATTTTATTTAGAGACAGGGTCTCACTAAGTTGCTTAGGGCCTTGCTTTTGCTGAGGCTGGCTTTGAACTTTCAATCCTCCTGCCTCAGCCTCCAAAGCCGGGATAACAGGCCTGTGCCACTGCACCTGGAAAGCGTTTTTTAGCCACCCAAGGAAAAAGAGCATGTAAGATAAATGTTAATTTGCTTGACTATTTCAATCTGTCTCAGGTCCACCATCCTTGTTCTCCTGAACTGCCTGGGGGAGCTAAAATCTTACAAGGCTGTGTGACAATCCGGCTGGAATTGTGTCTGTACTGAAGATGTCCAGGTTATCTTCTTCTTCCCCCTGCTGCCATTATTCCCTAAACAATATAGTGTAGCAGCTATTTGCAAATCATTGGCTTGTCTTAGGTGTACAGGTGATCCAGAGAGGATCCAAAGCATATAGGAAGATGTGCATAATTATATGTGAATATTTTGAGGTGGATTTCAGAATTCACCAGGGTCTTGGAACAAACCCCCTGAGGATATTGGGAGACAAATTATATTTTTAAAAATCACGTTGTACACCTTAGATTCAATTTTGCTATTTAAATAATTTTTAAAATAATTTTCTTTTGCTACCATGTGTTGTCATTAATTCTTCTCCCAGCCCTAGGGAAAGGGGAGTCTTACTGCAATATTCATATCTCCTAAAAAATGAGGCCAGAGGCCATGCTTCTGTAAAGCGCTGGGTCCCCGGGACTCCTACTCCAGTGCTCCACCAAAACGGAAAGGACCAGGGCCCTCCATCAAAGTAAAATAACTGGACAAAGAAACCAGGTGGGTTAGAAACACTTGCTTTTATATTACACACACTGGGTTCAGGATGACAGTGTGGGTGTGGATGGGGACAGCCCCCTCCCAGTGTCCCAGGAGGCTTCACGCCCCCTCCCCCGCCCCCAGCCTGTGGCTGTGCTACCTAAGGGCAGCTCGCTGTCCAGGGGTCAAGGCTGTTCGCAGGGCCGTGTTTACCGAAAGTTCCGCTGACGCACGGGGCCGGAGAAGAGGACGTTCCACTTGCCACAGCAGGTGTCACGGACCAGGGCCACCCTGTCCTTCCCGCAGCTTGGCCCGGATGGTGGGGTGGCCCGGCTCCTCCCCACCCCCCGGGGGTCACACCAGCCATCGAGCTGGAGCCGATGACCTTCTCCCCTTCAGTAGGGGTAGGGCGACACAGCGATGAGCAGGACGAACACGCTCTGGTGGCGCGGCGCCGCGGCGCGCACGGTGAGCCGGTAGAGGCCCGCGCGGGTGAGCGCGCGGCGGGTGTAGACGGCGCCGTGTCCCGAGCGCAGCGCGCGCAGAGCAAACGGGCTGCGGGGGTCGGGCTCCAGCACGCTGAGCTCCGTGAGGTTGGCGGGAACTCCGGCCTCGGAGAAGGCGGCCAGGCGCGCCACGTCGTGGTGGGCGCGGACGCCCAGGGGCAGCGGCAGCAGCCGGTACTGCAACGTGGACGGGCCGCCGGCGCTGCAGTCCAGCGAGCAGCGGCGGAAGCAAGTCCTGCGGGCCGCACAGACAGACTGACTGACTCCAGGCTGCCCTACGAGCGGCCGAACTTCACCCCCAGCCCCCGTTGCTCTGCCCAAGCTGCCCGTCTCCCTGCGCCTCAAATACCTTCCCTAGAAGTGTCCCTGTTAGCCCATTTTAGAGACCATCAAACGGAGGCCCAAAGGGGCCAGAGCCATGACCTTTTGCCTCACCCAGGAGTCCTTCGGGGACCAAGTCCCAGGCAGCGCTGCCCGAAGGAGGCAGCGACAAAACTCTGCTGTGCTCTGTGGGAGCGGAAGTGCCCTGAGCTGAGTCACACCTGGGTTTGCAGCTCAGAGACACCAGGTCCCACCTTGCCCGACGTCCACTTCCACATTTGTAAGGCCCCGGGCAAGTTACCCACCCCAGGAAACCTTTCTGGTTGCAGCAGCTCCTGACCCCAAGGTCCTCATGTCTCTGTGCCACTTCATGAGTGTCTGTGGCCCCAGAGTGGTGAAGGAAGTGTGGTGTGTTCAGTGTCTGCCACCCGGGGTCTGGGGTGCGCCTCTGGCTCATTGTGCATTTGGGGGCCTGGAGCTTGTGTTTGGCGAGTTCCTCTTCCCATCTTGGCCTCTCTGCCCTGAGCTCCTTGCAAGTGGGCCTGCCACTCGAGGAGCGCAGGGAATGCAGCATCAAGGCGAGCTGCGCCCTGGCTGGCTGTGCCTGTGGGCACCGTCTGCCCAGGGTTCTGACAGGGTAGCTTCCACTGGCCCTGGGCGACTTTCCTGGGTGGCGTGGTCCAGCCACACAGGAGCCCATGTGGAAGCTGCACAGATCCTGGCAGATGACGTGCCCTGTCCCTTCCACCCCAGACAACCCAGCCCTTACCCGGGGCTGGGGCCCTGCCGGTAGGTGGCGGGACAGGGCGTGTCCACACACTGGTAGCTGCCTCGGGTGTTGAAGCACATCTGGCCAGGCCCACACTCGATGCTGCCTTCCTCACACTCGTTGATGTCTGGGTGGGGGAGGTGAAGTGGGGGATGGAAAGATGGAGAACAGAAGGGCGCGGAAGGCCAGAACCAGAGAAGGCGGGAAGTGGGACCTGCTGGGAGGGCACCCCTTGCCTGTCCATAGACAGCCCAGCCCAGAGCCCAGGGACCAGACTTCCTAGTGCATGATGGGGCCATGGAGAGTCTGGGGGAGAGGGGCTGTGCTGGCGTCACCCTCCACCCAGGGCACCGGAGACCACCCCAACCCTTGTCTCCCTCAGTGGATGCCTCACCCTTCCAGAGGACATTCGCTGCCCTTGTGTGGAGGGGGACAGGGCAGGCAGGTTTCCCACCCTCTAGGGTGGGGGAAACAACAGGACCCACTCCTGCTTGGGTGCATCAGGGTGACTTGGGAGTTAGAGGACGGCCGCCCATGGCCGCTGTGTCTCTGCTCATCAGGTTTCACCTCAGCTATCTAAGGGGTGCTCTGTGAGCCCCAGTTCACCAGGGAGTAGAGGCTCAGAGAGGAAAATAGAGTTGCCCAGGGACACACAGCAAAGCTGAGATTGGCCTTGTAGGCTGCCTTCAGATCCTGCCCGCGTGGTCTCTTGAGGCTCTTGGGTGAAGTGGCGGTTGCACCTGGCTGTGGGGGCCTGGCATGCTCCCCTGAACCCCCGGAGCTTGCCTCCCCGCCCCACCTCCCAGGGCTGGAGAGGACGGGGTACAGCCGCCTTGCTCACCCTGACAGTTCTTGCCGCTGGGGAGGAGGCGGTAGCCCGCAGGGCAGAGGCAGCGGTAACTGCCCTGGGTGTTGCGGCAGGCGTGCTGACACAGGGTCTTTAGCCGACACTCATCCAGGTCTGGTCAGGCAGGTGGCAGGATGGGGCGGACGGGGACAGGGGGAGCCGAGTCAGAGGCCAGGTCACCACACCTGCCTGCCGGCTCTGGGCAGGTCGGGAGAGTTCCTGCCCGAGGCGCCCACTCCCCACTCTGCCCCAGCCGGCTTTAGGGACTGGAGAAATCTCTGATTGTTGGTAGTGGGGACCTCGCCCTGTCCCCACCAAGGCAGGGGGGTCACCCCCACTACCAACCCTGTGCCCAGGCTGGGTGCCCCAGGAGGCTGCCTCTGCCTTGCCCCTCTCTGCTGCCCAGTGCCAGCCCCAGGGTCCAGGGGTGGCCCTTGCCCACCTCTGTGCCCATCAGACCCCTTCGGGCCTTCACGTCTGCCTGGAGCATTCCCCTTCACTCCTGGGGCCCTCGTCCCTGGCTACTCTGCCCTGGTACCAGCAGGTTTCTCTAGCTGGCCTCCCGAGGACGCAGCCTAGGAGGCCCCTCGCCCAGCAGCCCTGCCCGAGACACCTGTGCCTGGCCCCGGGAAGCAGCCCTCTGTCTGCCGCCTGCCTGCCCACCCGCTTGCAGTGAGTCCTGGGTTTCCACACAGGGTGGTGCCCCACGACCAGCCCAGGAGCCCAGGGCACAGGGGCGTGTCCTTGTGGGGCACTTGGGGCCCAGCCTCACCCGTGCAGATGCCATTCTGCCTGATGAAGCCAGGCGGGCACCAGGCCCGGTCCACGCTGCTCAGGGCTCCCGGCCCTGGGCGGAGGGAGGCCCAGGTATGGAAGGGGCGGCCAGGGACGGACACCCGGGGCTGTAGCCAGGGCGCAGAGGGGCCCGGGTAGTTGATGGTGGTCACATTGTGTGCACTCTGCTCCAGTAGGGTGCAGCCCTTGCCATTGCGGAGGAGGGTGTGGCCCGGTGGGCACAGGCAGCGAAAGCTGCCCTGGAGGTTGTGGCACTGGTAGGGGCAGGGCCTGGGCAGCTGCAGACACTCGTTGACATCTGCAGATGGAGGTCAGGCAGAGGCTGCATGCTCCGAGTTCAAGGCCAAGAGGGCAGCTCAGGGCTCCTGCCTCCAAGCTGCTCAGGCATCACCCTGAATCCTGGGTCGCCCGGAGCCTCCCCCTCCCCAGCTCTGAGCACCACCCCAGGTCCAGCTTGCCTAGCCCACAGCTCTTGGTGTCTCTCGGGTCCATTCTACCCGCTAGGCCTCTCAGGCCCCCCCTCTGCCAGGGACGCTGGCCTGCAGGGTTGAGTGGGGCCAAGCACAGTCCAGAACTCCCAGCACCACACCACCAATGCCCACCGTGCCCAGCAAGGCCCAGAGTGGGTGGGCTCCCTCATACCTAGGCAGGGAAGGCCGGGGCCCTGGGTGCGGTACCCCCGGGGGCAGCTGCAGCGGTGCCCGCCTGGGCTGTTCTCACAGAGCTGGCTGTGGTGGCATCCGTCCAGCTGCTCCATGCATTCGTCCACATCTGGAGCAGGTGTGGTCGGGAGGGGCTTAGCCCAGAGCCCCTCCCCTAGGATCACATCCCCCCACACCTGGGTCGCCCCAGTTCCCTTCTCCAAAGCCGTGTCAACAGCTGAATGCCAGCACCTGCCCCACCCCCCACGGGTCCCACGTTGGAGGTCAGCAGGGCTCTGGGTCTGGAGGAAGGAAGGGCCTTAAAAGGTGGGCTTTGGAGGCGGAGCCCTGGCGCTGTGAGCTCTGCCCTGTCCAGTCCTGATGGGCCTCAGTTTCCTCATCTGTAAAGATGGCTGGACAAGCACGTGAGGAGCTTAGCAGCCTGCTGTGTGGAAGAGCTAAAGGACTGGAGAAGAGGGCGGGCGGGCGGAAGGCAGCAGCGGGCAGAAGAGCCCCAAACAGCCCAGCTCTCCAGGCCACAGGGCAGAGCCGCCATGTTTGCCTCCACTGGCTGGCTGGTCTCCAACGAGCCAGGGGGACCCTGATCATGAAACCATAGAATGTTGAGCAGGAAGGATCCTAGAGGTCATCCCTCAGGGCTAGCACCGAGGTTTGAACCCTAAGGTCAGTTGTCACTTATCCATAGTGGCTGCTGGGGAAGCCGTGTTGGGGATTCAGAGGCTGTCCCTAGCAGGACATGGTCCATGGGGGATAGGGAGGGGATAGGATAGCAGAGGTGGTGTGTTTGCCCTTCCTATTGGACTCCCTTGTCCAACAGGTGAGGGACCCAAGGCCCAGAATGGATGAGACACTTGACAAAGGACACTGAGCTGCCAGGAGCAGGGCTGGGCCAGGACTCAGTCCCGGGACCTCTCATGCTTTCTCCCAGCCTCATGCGCTCCTTCCTGGCGCCCTGAAGCCCAGCATCCCAGGGACATGCAGCCCCCCATCAGTGCACCCTGGCAGTCTCTGGGTTCTTGGGGACATTACCAGGCTCCACCTAGTGCCCCCCTCACCTTCACAGCTGGCTCCATCAGCAGCCACCCGGAAGCCCGGCCCACAGTCGGGGAGGCAGTGGTAGGAGCCCAGCAGGTTCACGCAGCGCTGACCCTCTGGGCAGAGGTGGGCATCCCACGCACACTCGTCCACGTCTGGGGGCAGGCCAGGCAGACAGCTGCAGGAGCACATGCCCACCCTCCCCGCCCTCCCCGCCACAGGGCCCTGGCCTAGCCCACCCACATGGCTTCCTCCCAGGCCCAAGAGTCCCTGGCAGGACGGCCCCCAGCCCTCCTGCCACCTCTTTCCGTCATCCCCACAGATACAGAGTCCTAATGGCCCTGGCCGGCAGCAGCTGATACAGGGCTGCGCACAGGGCCCTCTGGGGCACCTGGTTGGAGCCTGGCTGAGACCTGGCAGCACGGGGCCCCACTGGTGGGACTGGAGGGTACAGACTGTGGTCAGCATCGGGACATTCAGGGTCAGACTGCAGCTTTGTCAGGTGACAGGTAAACGGGTCACTGGTGTCAGCCCCCTTGGCCATGCCAATGGATCAGAACTGATGTGGGGACAGCGGCCGAGCCTGTGTCTGGGCCATGAGCAAGTGGTGGCTGCCTGTGTGCCCCTGGGGGTCCCCATCACCCTGACACCCAAGACCACATGCTGTCCTCAGAGGGACCTGGTGGGGCAGGACGCTGGAGACCTCAGGCTGGCATCAAGCACTCAGGAGTAGGTGCCCTGGTCAGGGCCCTCCTGCACACCGGGGCCCACTCACCTCTGCAGGTCCTGTCATCCCAGGCCAGGGTGAAGCCTGACGGGCAGGCGCAGGAGAAGCGGCCAGGTGCGTTGAGGCAGGAGTGGGAGCAGGGGCCGCCCAGGCACTCGTCCCTGTCTGGTGGGGAGAGAGCTGGTGGTCTGTCTCATGGGCCCTCTGGCCAGCTGGCCCAGAGAGATGGTGCATCCCAGGAGAAAAGGCCTGTTCTGGCCATGCCAGGGGAGGGGCAGGGCATGTTGCTCACCCACACAAAACTCTCCCTGGGTGTCCAGCTCAAAGCCCTCGGGGCAGCCAACTTCATCCTCCTCTGTAAGACAAAGGGGATGACCCTAAGGATATGAGGGTGCCCATTCCCAGCTGCCTTGGCCACGGCCCTGGCTCCCAGGTCCCTCCTGGGGCTGGCCCAGGCCATGCTCCCTAGCTGGCGACCAGCCCTGTCCTGAGCCAGACAGCTCCTTCCTTGCCTCACGTCCAGGCCTGTCCCAGGCTGTGGCTGTGGGACGTGCCCTATCCTGTACGTGTGCCCAGGGGCTTCCTATGGGGCTGGGCAGTGAGTCAGGAGACCCAGGAGAAACCATCAAAGAAAATAGGAAGCAGGAGCTCAGGGCGAAGCTGCTCAGCAGCTCTGTGCAGGGGGGTGCGGGGGTCCGCAGGGCTCCCCAGGGAGGCAGGACGAAGGCAGGTGGGGCCGCTGGGCCTGGAGATGGGTGGGGATCTGGCTGCCTGTGAGAAGGGGCTGGGGAAGGGTGCAGCCAGCCCCTCAGGGTGCAGCCAGCCCCTCGAGCTGCAGCTGGGAGGCGGGCCAAGCCAGGCCCACTGCCCACGGCGCAGATGGGAACAAGGCTGGGGGGACCCAGAGCCAGGCAGGGTGCAGAGCGGATCTGAGCCTGGTCTGCAGAGCCTCAGCAATGCCCTTTTCCCACAGTCCCTTTTGGGGCCTCTAGTGAGAGCACAGGGATCTCTGGCATCCCTTGGTTGAGACTTAGGAGGTCTCCTGCAGGTCTCGGGGCTCCCACAGTGGCTCCTAGCCCCGCTCACTGGTGGGGCCTGTGGGACAGGCACCCTTGGGAGAAGAGGGAGGAGAATGTGGCTTGACGCTTGAATGTCAGCCGGGGGGGGGGGGCTGGGCCTCCACTCTGGGGCACAGAGAAGGGTGTTGGAGGTTTGGCCTAAAGAGCCCTGTCCCTGTTGGTGGGGGAGGGACGGGTCAGGTGGAGCCTTATCTCTGGCAGTGGTCAGAGTGCAGTAGCCAGGTGCCTCTGGCGGGTCTTAGCTGGCGGGTGGGGGTGGGGGGCCTCACCCGTCTGCAGGGCTGTGGTCAGCTGGAAGTGCAGGGCCTCCGCCTCGGGGTCAAAGGCTGAGCTGATAGCGGAGGCCCGCAGGTGCTGCACCAGCTGGGGCTGGGGGCCCCGCGCTGCGTCGTACTGGATGGTGTGGTTGCAGCGCAGGAGCGCAGGGAGGCTGTCCTGGAGGAAGCGCTGTGTGGAGCCCACGAAGAGCTGGCCGGGCCCTGTCTGCACATAGTGCTCCTGGAAGTCCTGGTGGAGGAGAGGAGGCCTGGGGCTGAAACTCAGGGGCTGGGGTGGGGGCAAGAGCCTGGCCAGCCTCTGGTCTCCCTCCACAGCCAGGCAGCCAGGGCCTTTTGGTGGCCTTGTTTATGGAATGGGGAGCAGACGCTCACTATGACCTGCTCTCCTACCCAAGCCCAAGGCAGGCCCCGTCCAGCCCTTGCTGCTGAGGTGTCAGGGGGAACAGGCCTGGCCACGGTGGGGAGCGCGACACGCCATTCTCTCCCCCATCCCAGGCCCCGGCCCCACCTGCATCTGAAGATCTGCGTCAGCCAGGCCGTCGGGCACCATGCCATGGACCACCACATCGAGGAGCAGGAGTCCGTTCGGATCCAGGCCCCGAGCCACCTGGGTCATTGTGAGCAGCTCCCCTGCAGTGCACCCCACCCCACCCAGAGTCACCTCAGGAGTCCTGGGTTGGCTTCAGCCCCCCTGCCCACCTGAGGAGGCCCTGCTCACCTGTGGCAAACTCCACGTGAGACTCTTGCCGGAAGCTGCCACCGGTCAGGGAGTGGCCGTTCAGGGCCTCGCCGCTCTCTCCAGCCAAGGCCCAGTAGATGGGGGCAATGGCGACCACCAGCACCCGCATCAGAGGCCCTGGACAGGGCAGGGTGCAGAGCCAGGTTAGGGCTGGACCCTCAGGGTGGCCATCTCCTGCTCTACACCCCGTCCTCTGGCTCCCCACTGTCCCCAGGAGACCTCAGTTCTTTCCCTCCCTGTCCCTCTCCAGGTATTTAACCAGAACCTGGGAAACAGCAAGAGAAAACATCTTTCATGAAGTCGTTTTAAAAACTAATAAAATAAGTTTATAGAGAGAAACGTATGGAGATCAACGTCCGACTCAGTCCAGCATACACAGGTGAGGGCCACCTGAACCCGAGCTCGACAGGCTGCCATGACATGTTTGCTGGGCTGAGTTAAACATCAACCAACTTTCCAAACTTGCAGACGCTTTCCAGAGGAGCCGGGAGAGGAAGGATCGTTCCAGACCACTGACTTTGAAAAAAAGAGGCAAAAATTGCCCTGGATCTGGAGTCTCGGGCCTTCACATGATGCCTGGCCCTCTTGGGGCAGGGTGACGCCGCACACTGGGCCAGGGACACCACCAGGACCCAGTTTGCTCGGGGTCAGGGACAGCGGCGCTCTGTGAGGTCAACAGGAGGAAGTCGGGTTCCTGTGCATGAGCTGAACCTCTCAACCTCTCTGTGCCTGTCTCCTCGGCAGAGCCTGGCCCACTAGGCCTGGGATCAAGGTTTCCTCGGGGCTCCTGCAGCTGGAATAAGCAGCCACAGCTGGACACATCTGAGTGACCCTGGCCCAAGCCCCCTGCCCACGCTGCTCCCACGGCCAGCACAGGCGCCATCAGCACCGCCCTTTCCCTGCCTTGACCTCAGAGGAGGCTCGGAGGCAGGGTGGGTAGCGGGACAAGATGGCGAGGTCCCTCGGGACCAGGTCTGTTCCTCTGCTCGGGACACACTGTTTTAGGGACCTGGGTGCCGGGGGACACCCCTTGGTCCTCTGGGTTCTCTAGCTGATGTGACTCTCACGTTCCCTGCCTTCGTCCCTGCCAGCCTGCTCCCTAAGTCATTTCTGTCACCCTTCACTTTTCTGTCAGCCTCGGACTTGACAGTGGAGGCCCCGCAGAGCAGGCAGCTGGGGCCTCTCCCTGAGCTCTGCAGCCACATCACCGGCCTCAGGTCTCTGGGGTCAGGGTGGGTGGTCTGTGCGGTGGGGGCAGAGGGCCGGAGAGGACGCTCCTGCTCTGGGGCTTGGCTCTGCTGGCGGGCAGCCAGCTCTCCTCTGGGAATCGGCCCGAGCGAGCCTGGGGCCCGCCTTCCTCCTGGTCCTGCAGGAGCCACAGGGTCCCTGGCAGGCTGGAGCGGTGGGCCTAGAGGCAGCGCCACTCCGGCTTCTACTTACCCACATTTGCCGGGATGTGGCTGATGCTGCTCTGGATGGTGGTGACCCCGGAACGCGCCTCCTGCTGCACACTGGTGTTGAGAGCAGCCACGCCGAATTCCTGGCCGTTGATCACCCCAACCATGCTGCCCCGGCTCCCCTGGGGGTCCTCTGTGAAGAAGAAGAGCAGGAGTGAGACCCTCCCTCCCATGCCCCTGTACTCACAGGGACTGCTTCAGACCCAGTTCATGAGGGAGTAAATTGAGGCTCAGAGAGGTGAAGTAACTTGCCCAAGGACACAGAGCTAAGGAGTAATGGACTCAACACAGGGGATCGTGGCTCTAAAGGAGAAGTAAAGTGTGAGGAGGGTCTCTCAGCTGGGGTGAAACCCGACAAGTGAGGCCCCCAAGCCACACCAAGTTATCTGAACATGAGGGTGTTGGCCTATAGACATGCAAGAGACCCTGGTCTCTAAACCACCAGGACCCGTGATGGTGGGAGCTGGGGGCAGGGCAGCAGGCCAGGGCTCAGTGCCGTCACCTGAAGACCCCCCTTCCCATCCGTGACCCTGGTCCTGCAGCTGGCCTGCCTGCGGTGGCTGGTTTCCTAATGAGCAGAGGCCCTCAGCACTAATCAGACAGATGAGCGCTGCCAGTGCCGGGAGTGTCCTCCCACTAGGGGCCAGCTGTCTCCTTGGGCATGTGGCCTTCCGGCCGGCGAGAGGCAGGAGTCAGCCTGCCTCCACGCTCACCAGCTCCCGGGGGGACTCGAACAACACATTGCCCATGATCTGTCAAAAAATAACATAAAGCACTCTCCGGCCAGGACCCTAAGTGGGTGACTCAGGGCCTGCTGAGCTGGATTCCAGGAAAGAGCGCCGCTTCCTGCAGCCTCTGTGGGGCTGGGGGCGGCCCAACGCCCGTCTGGGAGGTTTCTCACCAACATAGTATCTGCTGTCTGCGGTGGAGGCCTTTTAATAAGGGGACATCGAAGGAGCCAGGAGCTGCTGTGAGCAGGCTGGAGTGTGACCCGGTGGCCTTGAAAGGGACAGGAGCTCAGAGCCCAGGAGTGGCAAGCCACTATTGACTTTCTCAGACCTGGGGTCTCAGTGGCCTCCCGTCCCCCACTAGGCCAGGGCTGGGACCCTCTGGCTGACAGGGAAGGGCAGTGAAGCCGGCAGGGACAGCGACAGGCTGACAGTCAGGGGCCCTGAGAACTTGAGACTCCCCAGAAGGCAGAGCCCCCAAAGGAACGTGTCCTGCAGAAACTGAGCGCACCCAGGCTCAAGGCGCGGTTCCAGGAGGGGACACTGGAGAAGGGCACTGTGCATATCTACAAAACCACCTGAAGTCATCATGGAAACACCCCCAGGCAGTGCTGGGGGCCTGGCCAGAGGTGGCCTGTGACCCACGGGGTGTCACCCAAGACAGAGTAAGAAAAGGGCAGGTTGTAGAGACCACCGGGAACCCAACCTCCTCCATCAAAAGAAAAAAACGTGGGCGAATACACCCCAGGCCATCCCCTAGGCTATTTTTGGAAAATGAATCATGAGATAATTAATTACTTTCACCCCTTCTTAGGTTTCTGTATTACCTGGCCTTTCTGCAATTAGCATACATAAAGGAAAATAGTTATTTCTATTGAAAACATAAGGAGCCCGTCATGGGTTGGATCACTACCCCCCATCCTCACGTGGAAGCCCTGACCCTCAGGACCTCAGAATGTGACCTGCTCTAGAGCCTGGGTCTTTACAGAGGTCATGGGGTGTGCCCTAATCCCATACCATGGTGTCCTTATAAAAAGGGGAGATTAGAGCCAGACGCACAGGGACATGCCAGGTGACAATGAAAACAGACACAGGTGAGGCTTTTACTAGGCAGAGTGGCTAGCAGACCCCTAAACCCTGGGCACGGCCCAGGGCAGATTCTCGCTCCCAGCCCTTGGAAGGAGTAGGCCCTGCCTACACCTGACCTTGGACTTGGAGCCCCCGATCTGCCAGGCAGGAAGTGCCTGTGGCTGTAGCGCCCGGTTTGTACTTGGGTTTGCCAGCTCTAGGGAGCCAGCCCGGGGCCAGGTGCCTAGGTGGGAGGGGAGAAGAGCTGGGACCAAGCTCTGAGGTAGAGGGAGGCTCCTGCAGACCCAAAGCCCCCCCAAGACAGCATCCCTGACTGGGCATCAGAGAGCCTTGACCGTTCAGAGCTGCATCTGTTGGCCCCCTGCCCCTGCTCAGAGGTGGTGAGGGCATCAGAGGCCAGAGGGGTCCTAACTAGGACAGTGGCAGTGGCTTCCAAGTGGCAAAGTGTCAAGGAGTGGAAAGGTGCTGCCTGGAGAAGGGGTCTGTGGGCAGATTCCGATTCTGCGTGGGCGATAGATCGGTGGCGTCTGCTGCGGGAGGAGGAGGAGACACAGAGTCAGAAACACTCCTCTGTGGTGTTCCGGGTCCAGGCACAGACCATTCAGAACGACCGTGACCTGGTACGGGTCTGACCATTGTTCTGCAGTCTCTCAGGACAGCTCTTTTCTCAGTTTTAAGGCTCCGTGTGGCCCCAGGAAGAGGGGAGCTGGGGACTCCAAGGCGGCAGGACTTAGTGACATGGGAAAGCTGCGTCTTTTCTGACCTCCTACCATGGCAGGCAGTGTCAGGAGCTGGGGACCAGCACCAGTAGTCACCCACAGCCACCCCCAAGGGCAACATGGACACTGTTGATTCGCTCTGCCTACTTCAGGGGGTTGTGGACTGCCCAGATGACCCATGTCCACACCAGATGACGAGGAACAGCCCAGGAGCCCTGTCCAAGATGAGTGGTGTCATGGTTGGATGTCAGGTGTCCCCCGAGGCTCATGTGAGACAATGCCAGAAGGTTCAGAGGAGAAATGATCAGGTTGTGACAGTCTTAACCCAATCAGTGAACGAGCCCCCATGGGACTGAGGTGGGCACGTGTGGCTGGAAGGGCTGGTCCTTGGGGGCGTGCCTCGGGGTATATATATTTGGGGAGCTGAGCTTGGTCTCTGATTCCTGGTCATATGAGCTGCTCCTCTCTGCCACTCTCTTCTGCCGTGACGTTCTGTCCTACTCCAGCCCTTAGGAACGGAGCTGGCTGTCTATGGACTGAGACCTCTGACTCCATTCCTTCCCCCTCTACAATTGTTCCTGTCGGGTCTTTGAGTCACAGCAGTGGACAAGCTGATTAAAACCGAGTGGCAAACACTCGGCTCCTCTGAGTGACTCGGTTTCCCTGGATGGAAATGGGCAGGGGGCCCCACAAGGCAGGAGACCCCCAGGTGCTCCCCGCTGGTTCAGTCCGAGGCTGTGACTAGGCAGGGAGGAGTGGGCACCCTGGCACAAACCCCGCTGTGCAGGGACCACGTCTCTGTCCACAGAGGCCTGGGCAGGGACGCCCCGTACCTCTCACTGCCAGGAAAGCCCGGGCTGTGGCAGAGCCCAGGAGGTTGTGGGCGACACACTCATAGGCTCCGGCATCCGCAGCCTCTGCGCGCTCCAGCCACAGGCTCCCATCCGGCAGGGTCCGCAGCCGCTGGCCGGTCTGCAAAGGTCGACCTGCCTGCAGCCACTTGACGGTGGGCCTGGGCTCCCCGGTGGCCTGGCACCGCAGCACCACGTCCTCCCCGGATCTCACTGTCACGTCCTGGGGCTCCACCTGGAACACTGGGGCACCTGTGGGAGGCCCAGGTGGCTTTTAGGAACTTCAATTGTTTCTTAAACACATTCACTTAGACACATTAGGACACAGAAAAGGCAGGAAGGAAAAGAATAACCGTCACACGCCATCCGTGACTCAGGTACCACGCCTGCGTGTTTCCTTCTAGACATGGCTCCCTTATGGAAAATACGGTCACATGCTGCCTAGTGACACTAGTGACATTTTGTTCAAGGATGGGCTGCGTGTGCCATTTGGTCCCATAAGATGACACTGCCTGGGGTGTCAGAGCTGCCTCTGGGGAAGTATGCCAGCAACGTTCCCATGACAACGGGACTCCTGACCACCCACTTCTCAGGACGTGTCACGTGACGCACAACTTCGTGATCACAACGTGCCTGCTTCTACGTTTTACTCCACGATGGACCCCATACCGCCCCGTGCCACTGAATGTTCATTTTACTCTACGTGGTCCACCCTCTTGACCTACTGTGACTTGTTAAACTGACCCTCACCGGGGACCCTTAGATTGTTCCAGTGTTAAATGACACTCTCCAGAACTGCCTGGCTTAGGACCCATGGGAGGCAGAACCTGGGCTCTGCCTCTCTCCCCAGGTCACTGCCCGACCCTCAGTTCTCTCATCTGAAAGGGAACGTAACTGTGGCCTGCCCCACATCGGGAAGCACACAGCGATGAGAACAGTCGAGCCACTCCACGGGGACCACAGGAAGAGCCCCAGGTGCTCCGCTCAGGAGAAGGCACTTGAGATGCGGCTCCTGCTCATTCCCACCCCCTTCTGCTCCGCTCTGGGGTGCTGGCACCTGCCTGGACCTGGCGTATCCTAGGAAGCTCCTCCCACTGAGCTACTCCCCAGCCTCCGATTTCATTCAAGTTAAATGTCAAGCACAAGCAAGAGCAGGGCCTCCAGCCAGGGCTGAGTGAACTTCGGCAAGCCTGCTCCCCCCCAAGCCATGTAAACCTTGACGGAACTGCCCCAGCGACCACAGGGCTGCAGAACTCAGCAGTCACCCCAATCGGGACTCATTTTCCTATCCAGGGCTTCCAGGGCTTTGCTAAGAGCAGCGGAAGCACCGCGGCCTTCCTGCCTGGGACTGTGTCCCACCAGTGGTCGTCACTGCACAAGCAGGAGCTTTTGCCTCCCCAGGGGTGAGGAGCGTGGCGAGGGTGGAGCAGGCAGGCGGCCCTCCGTCAGCCCTGGTGCGGGGCCAGAGAAGCTGCCAGAGACGGCAGGAGGAGCTGGAGCTGGGCGGGGGCAGCCAGGGCTCCGCAGGCCCACGGGGACATGTGAGCTGAGGAGACCCAGGACCCCGGGACCCCTTCTCCAGGTGTTTCCAGTGTTTCCACAGTGGCTCTGGGTTCTATGACCCCGACCTTGACGTCCTGCCCTGGGCCGCTCACTCGGAGTCCGGCTGTCTTTCTCATTCAGCTGAGGTTTTGCTGGTGCTGGTTTGACCAGGGATTTCCATGGGCCAGCTTGGAGCTGGCGGGGCCTGGCCTGCTGTCTCCATCCTGCCAGGGCCCCTCCGCCCGCACTGCCTACCCTCCAGGGAACGGGGAGGGCGCCCGGCTGGCTGGGCAGCTGGGGCTCAGCACCAGGCCTCCTGGGGAGGGGGCGGCACCTCTCGGCACTCCCCCTGCCTCCCCTGACTGGGGCTTCCCCGTGGTGAGTGAAGAGGGCTCTGTCTCCCCCAGGCTGACCCCCGGGACCCCCTTCAGCGGAGCACGGACGTGGAAGGCCTGCTTGGCGTGCGTGGGGGGACGCACTTCTGTACGGTGTTGTCTGGAAGCTTCTTTCTCACTGAGCCCTTCTTTCCCTGGTCCTCTGGCAGGAGAGGGCGGGCTTCTGAGGGGAGCCTGTGGTGTCCTCAGCTCAGCCCAGGGGACAGAGGGAACCTGCCACCACCTAGCTCCTCAGGTCCCAGATCAGGGGTCCTGCCTCCTTTCCTCGCCTCACCCCTGGCGCCGTCTTCTGTGTGCAGGCTTCGGGCCGTCCCCAGCAGGGGGGACACGGGCTGTCCATCCCGCCTGGAACCAGGAACTCTGCCCTGGGACACTCCCCATGCTGGACAGAAAAGGGGCCCCCCACCTGCTGAAGCCCTGAGGCCCCCCGCTGCACACGCTCCACCCCGAACGAGAGCGGGGGACGTCCATCTGCCCCTCGCTCAACTGTACCAAGGGGCTGAGCAACGAGATGAGGCAGTGCAGAGAACCAAAGGCCATGTCGCTAGCCCTGAAGGGCACGCAGGAGACACAGGCAGAAAGTCCCAGGAGTAGACCGAAACTTGACGAGAACCAAGAACCAAGCCAGGTGCCAAAGCAAGACAGGAAATCAGTCGTGTTTCCTGATATTAGCAGTGGAAAATTAAAAAATCAAACTGAGAAACAACTCCATCCATCCTACAGTCCCAGCACTCGGAGGCTGAGGCAGGAGAATTACAAATCCAAGGCCGACCTCAGCAACTTAGTGAGACCCTGTCTCAAAGTTTAAAAAAAAGGGGGGGGGGGAGGGGCTGGGGATGTAATTCAGTGGTAGAGCAGCCCCCTGGGTTCTCAGTACCTGCCCCCCAAAATCTAAAATGACAAAATACTTAGTAAACAATTCAACAAAAGAAATATACCAGAAACTATCAAGTATCCCTCAGAGGAATTAAAGATCTGCATCAAATGGATTCCATATGTAGGAAAAAAAAGAAAGGAATTTAGACCCTGAGCTGACATAAAAACACATAAAATGGATCACAGAGCTAAGGTGTGAGAAGAGACTATGAAAATTATAGAAGAAAATAGAACCTTAGGTTAGGCAAAATAAATGATCCCCAAAATGTGAAATCAATTAATCTGAACTTCATCAAATTTTAACATTTTTGTTTTTCAAAAGCACCATTAAGAAATGACAAAGACAAGCCAGGGCGGTGGCCACGCCTGTAATCCCAGCCACTCTGGAGGTTGGGACAGGAGGATGGTGAGTTCAAGGCCAGCCTCAGCAACTTGGCAAGACCCTATCTCAAAGTAAAAAAATAAAAAGGGCTGGGGGTGTGGCTCAGTGATAGTGCACCCATGGGTTTAATCCCTGGCACCCAAACAAAACAAACACAAAATTTAAAAAATCAACAAAAAAACATAAAAGTTACCCTCTTAACTTTGGAAAGTGTACAGTTCGGGGTAGTTAAATGCGTTACATTGTTGCAAAACTGACCTGAGAATTTTCCATCTTTTAGACGGCAATCCTGTACCCATCAGACACCAGCCCCCTTCTACCTTCTGTCTGAACCCCGCTGCTCTCGGGACTCATGGGAGTAGAATCCTGTAGTGTTTTCTTTTTGTGACCGGCTTATGTCACAACATAGTGTCTCCAAGGTTCACCCTCCTAGGTAGGCGGGTCCAATTTCCCTTTTCAAGGCTTTTTATTCCCGGGAGGAATGGGTGGACTTTCTGTATGTCAATTGTACCTTGGTAAAGCCGTAGGCTCTTACAATAAAACAGGTAAAGCTCAGGACGGTGGTGAGCAGGTGGAGGCGGTGACTCGAGGGTGGTGCCAGGCCTGGAAGCTGACACTGCTGGGGGCTCACCAACAAGACTCACTGAAGGGACACTGAGGACCCAGGGTGCACTCGGCTCCACAGACGTGTCTGTCTTCAGTAAGACATTTCCCACAAACCCCCAGAGGCACCCCTTCACGGGTCGTTTTCAGGCTCACGTGCCACCTTGTAGCTCTAGGCACTTGGCAAACGTCGGAGCTGTGGTTCCAGCTCAGTGTGGACACGGGCTGCCCCAGGCCTGGCGTTGGGTCCCTGGGGACTCACTGGTGGACAGGGCGTCTCCCCCTGTGCTGGGGAGACACTCCCAGGACTTCACCTGTGTTCCCCAGCCACAGCTACCCCTGAGCACCCACGTCCCACGTCCCCATCTGCTGGGAGAAGGGCCAGGGGCAGGGAGAGGGACCTGGAGACTCACTCTGAAGCACGAGGGTCACCACTCTCTTCACGGTGCCCATCTCGTTTTCAGCCAGGCACTGGTACTGTCCCGCGTCGTCTGGCTGCAGGTGGCAAGGAGGGACAGCCGTGCTCAGGAGGGACGAGGAGCAGCTGGGCACAGAGGGACAACTCGGCCTCGACCCCTCTGACCCGAAAGGTGCTTAGAGGAACCGGAGAGGGCCGCCAGGGCATGAAAAAGGTCCTGAGGCACTTGCTGAGGGTTGTTCAGAGGGTCCACCACGGGGGGCGGTGACCAAGGGCAGGGGCTCCATCTGCAGGAGAAAGCACGCCTAGACCTGCCTCCCCAAGCCGTCTACACTGCAGCACCATGCTCCACGGTGCGGTGTCGGAACCTTTGAAGAAGAGGGCTCCTGGGGGAAGGTGATTGGGAAACACGGAGCTAGACGTCTGTGACCAGGATTCCCCCTGCATTCCTGGCCAGTGTGCACTGCGTGTCTTCCAGAGGGCGGAGGGCTGGCAGCTGCCTCCCACCTGGGTGGCCGGGGAGACCTGACTCACAGGAGACCCTGACCACACACCTGTGATGCAGGAAGAGTGGCCTTGCCACCAGAGGGGGACAGCCTGCGGTCCTGTCCACACCAGAGGACGACGCCCAGGACGCCCAGGGACAGGGTGGCACAAAGCAAAGAGTGTAGGTTTGAAGGCCAGTCGGATCTGTGGCCAAACCGCGGCCTTGCTGCTCACCTGTGGCACCCGATCCCTGGGACGTTCCCCGTCCCTGGCGCCTCAGTTTCCCCATCTCTAAAGCGGGGAGAGACCCCTTGGGCTGTTACAGGCACTGAGGTGAAAGGAAGGGTCCTGGTGGGCTCCCCGGGCACAGGGGCCACTGCTACTGTTGCTGGGGTCCCTGGCCATCACAACGGGGACACAGAGACAAGAGACAGCTCCCAGTGGGCAGGTCCAAAACCCGAACGAGAACTTGAGACTTGTGGGTTTTAGCAAATCCCTGGACTTGGAGCACAGGGTGGAAGGCTAGCGGGGGCTGCCCCTGTACTCAAGCCTTTGGAGACAGTGGGCAAGGACTCAGGGGACTTGGGGCAGAGTCCCGCCGCAGCCCATCCCACATACCTGGCAGGGTGTCCGCCTGAGTTCTCACCACTAACGGGGGCGGGGGGCGGTCAGGCTCGGGAGAGGGTGGGGGACTGGAGCACAGAACTTCCACTGGGGAGAAGCCCCCTGGGCAGAGGGAGGACCCCTGGGGAACAGGCCTGCAGAGGGCCACGAGCCTGCAGCACCCTCTCGGTACAAGCACAGGGGTGTCCCTGCTGGCCTTGCCAAGTGCCGGCCCCGCCTTGCCTCGGTCCTTAGGATGGTCAGCGAGCCGTTCTGCAGCCAGTGGCGGGCACGGCTGCGGGGCAGCGGAAGGCCATCTTTGGTCCAGCGGATGTCTGGTGCTGGGTCTCCATGGACCACACAATCCAGCCGGATGCTGCCCCCTACAGGCTCCACCAGGTAGGAGAAGGCCTCTCCTTGTAGGACTGGAGCCTCTGCAGGGGGTGACATCAGTGAGTGGTCAGGAGGGAGGCTCCCTGAGGGTCAACCTCCCAGAAACCCACCCACAGGCCTGCCAGCCCCGCCTCCGGGGCTCCAGGGCTCCTGACGGCCCCGGCTCTGCAGAGTCAACGGGTTGGGAGGGCAAACAGCTTCCCTGTCCTGGGTCACATCACATAGCCATGCCAGGGCCACCAGGAACTGTGCTGAGAAAAATCTGAAGCTCAGTGGGGATTGTGCTGTGGTGGACTAGTGATGCCTGAGACAGGCACAGGCAGGGACACAGCACAAGCCCAGTGTGCCAGCCGTGGAGGGCCCCCCCAGGCACTCTGGCAAACCAGAGCTACAGGAAAACAAGAAGGCGCACAGCAATGCCAAGAGAGCGGGTGTGGGCAGTGGGCGGAGGGCACCAGACCCCAGGTTCCATCCCCAGCACCACGGTGGGGAGTGGGGGGGAGGAGGGGGGAGGGAGCACAGCAACTCCTAGAGTTGAGCAAGTCTCAGAACACTGCTGGGCACTCTGCGGCCTTCCATCCTGGTCCCTGACACGGAACCTACTCTAAAACCTGCAGCGGTGCCCTGGTGCCTCCTGAAGTTGAGCAAAGAGGTGACCAGGTCCCTGGGATGCCCCTGGTGGAGCAAGGCTCAAGGGGACAGGTGTCAGGCTGCGCGCCTCGGGCACTTCTCCGCCAGGCTGCCCTGGTCCCTGTGCCCTCCTCCGTCCTGGAGCTGTCCACATGCAGGTAGGCCCAGGGCTGAGTGTGAACAAACAGCCACTGGGAGGACAGGGCCTGGCCTCTTGGGAAAGCCACAGGCGGGGCGCACAGAGGCCTCGAGACAACCGCGGGCTGGCCCTACCCTTCACGTGGACGAAGCTGACCGCCTGCACTCGGCCCACTCTGTTCTCAGCCCAGCAGACGTAGGTCCCGCTGTCCTCTTTGGTGACGGCCGCCCGCTGCAGGGTGCTGCCCCCGTCCTGCTCAGACACCCCATCTGTGGTAGAGAAAGAGGTGGCCCAGTGCGGGAGCCTTCCTCCCCGAGATCCCACCTAGGCCTGGGTACCCAGCAGACGCTTAATAAGGACACAGCCATGGAAGGAAGTGTCCCTCCACCCTGGATGTGGGAGTCACAGGGCCAGGAGGCCGTGGTGAAAGAGCCTGCGCACCTCAGAGAGAGCACACCAGGGACAGGACAGGTGTCACCACCCCTGGGGCATTCGCTCTGGACAAGGCCCGGCGCCAAGCGCGGCTCCTGCGTCCTCAGCCTGGCCCCGGGCTCCGGGTCCTCCCCTTTCCCAGATGAAGCAGCTGGGATGGCGGCCCACCAAGTTCTGCCCCCAGAAAGGGCAGGGCCTGGCAAACCACCACTGTGCCAAGGTGTGACCAGACCTGACCTGGGGGGGTCATCGCGCTGGAGGGGGCTCAGCAACTCAGCAATTCGCCTCCCTGAAGGTCACCTGGATCCCAGGTGGGAGGACAGGTCCCCAACACCCTGAGGGTTCCGCCATGGGAGCAGCAGGCCCCTCCTGGCCCGAGCCCTCTGGTTTAAGTCTCCCGGGGGCTTCCTGCCAGCTCCGATACATGCCTGTCCCAGGCAGACACGCAGGTCTGCCCTGTGTCCCTGGAAACCAGATCCGGAACCCACGGGCCCTCAGACAACTTCCTGTCCAGTAGGTAGGTCTCCGGCCCATCCCCACGCCCTGCCACTGCCCTACCACCCCACACAGACCTGTGACGGGCCTGTCGTTGATGGTCCAGCCAAGGCGGGGGGTTGGGCTGCCACGGGCCGCACAGCGAAGCCACAGCCTGTCCCCGAGGCGCAGGCTGCGGTCCCCAGGCAGGGTGGTGAAGACAGGCAGCGCCAGGATGGTGAGATGCACTCGGCGGCGAGCCCGGCCCACGGCGTTCTCTGCTGTACAAGTGTAAGTGCCGGCGTCCTGGCCCTGTGGGCAAGAGAGGTGCCAGCCTGAAAACTGTCCCCTGTCGCCGTGCCCCTGTGGACCCATCAAGGAACATCCAGCCCAGACTGTGCCCTGAACCCACTACTGCTTTCATAGGGCTGAGCTCCTTTGCCATCCAATCCTGCCACAAGACGCAAATGACAGGAACCAACTGTTCCCGTTTACTGAGCACCTACTAACTGCTGGGCTCTATGTTCACAGCCAGACCTGCTGCACCTCATCCGTACTTGAAAGACCCCGGGGCAGGCCCTACTTTTGGTGCCTTTGCGGAGAGGGCCCAGAGGCTCTGAGGGGAGGCGTTCTGGGGAGCGCTGAACAGGGTGCGGCACCTCCACTGCATGCCTAGCTCCCTTGGCCTGGCAGCCGGCACCCCATCAGCCCCCCAGCCCATTTGCAATTACAGAAAGTGCTGAGTGCTGATGAGGAGGCCGTGGGGGTCCCACCCACAGCCTGGCTCAGCCCCCCACTGGCCACGGGAATGGTCTACACCAAGGCCCTCCCGTCCCCTGGCCCCGGAGCTGGTGATGAAGGTAGGGCCAATGCTGATTGTGCCTCTTAGCCACGATGTATCTTGGGGCGATTAAGTTTTGTCATCAGTGGGTGGTAGCACAGGTCTCCTCCATTTCCTGGGGTCAGAGCTGTGCGGGGCTCTGTGACAGCGTGGCACACGGGGGCTCCTGGTGACATCATCCCCCTCCTGCTCCCTGGCCGGGGCCCTCACCTCCGAGTTCTTCACCAGCAGCTCCCCAGAAGGCTGGACGCTGACCCTGCCCCCGGCTGCAGACACGGGCTGGCCGTCCTTCTCCCAGGTGATGTCGGGCTCGGGGCTGCCCCTGGCCACGCAGGGCAGGAGGGCGTGGGAGCCCTCAGGGGCAGACAGGTCGGGGAGGCTGTTGTCGATCACGGGGGGCACTGTGGGGAGAGGGAGCTCCACTCGGGATGGGGCTGGAGCCTTGGCCTTCGGCAGGGCCCCCAGCACTCCCTATCAGCTGCCCCACCAACTGCCCATTTAGAGGTCTTTTAGAGGTCATGGCCGGTGGCCTGGATGAGTGGGGCCCTGAGTGTGGGAAGCCATGCCGGGGGCCTGCTGCGCACATGCAGCGACCCGGAGCTCGGGTTCTGTGCCCAGAGGCGAAGCAGCTTCCCTTGGGCACAGACCCCAAGGAGGGCAGCTCCAGGATCAAAAGCAGAACAGTCATCATGAGGCCCACGTGAGGCCCGGGCAGGGGGAGCCAGGCTGGGGCAGGGGAGCCAGGCTGGGGCTGGGGCACGTGGCCTTAGGCTCCTGTGGTGACCAGCAGCCACGCGGCAGGTCACCAGGGAGAGAAGCAGGCCAGACAAAGGGGCTGGGAGGAGGCCTGGAGCCAGGGCATCTTCTGCGCTCACAGAAAAGTTGGGTCCCAACCCGCTAGGCTGCCCAAGGGACGGCCACCAGGACACCCCGAGAGCAGGCCTGCGACTGGAGCGTGACGCCCACACTGAGCCTCCTCGGCCCAGCGCCAGTCTCTGCCAGGGTCACGAAGCAACTGATTAGGCCGAGGGAAAGGACGTGAGCTGTGTGTCTGTGCAGAGGAAGCGGTGGCTGGGGACCCAGAGTCCAAATGAGAGAGGGAGGGCGAGACCGTCCCAGGGCCAGGGAGGCCAGGGGCAGGAGTTTACGTCTGAAGCCATGTGGTACCACAGAGGAGATGTGTCCCTGAGCCCCCCTAGAGCCACAGGCCGTGCTGGGGTGGGTGTGCCCTGTCTGGGCCCAGAGCCGGGCAGGGGCAGGAGCTCGCAGCAGCCCCCAGGCCTTTGGCTGCCGGGGACACCCCAGGCGCACCTTGCACCACCAGCCGCGTCTTCCCCATGGCGCTGCCCACCCCGTTCTGGGCGAGGCAGAAGTAGTTCCCAGCATCCTCGGGACGGGCGTGGACGATCTGCAGCTGTCCCCTGGGTAGGACCCGGGTCCTCACACCTGGATGTGACGGGAGGAAAATCAGGGCCTGTGGCTGGAACAGGGTTAGCCCTGAGGAGGCAGCCTGAGTGTCGCTGACAGGTATCAATGGGGGGCCACAGGGAGGCAGATGAGCAAGGAGGCCTGGCGCGGAGCCAGCTGAGCCCGCCTTTCCTGCCGCCAGCTCAGCCCTGAGCTCCCAGGTGGCTCTCAGGCTGCGGTGCCAGGAGAAAGGAGGGCAGGAGCGACACCAGAGCAGGGGTCGGGACGTGACTCTGGGCTGGGGGGCCTTTGTGGGACCTCTTGGCAGGGCTGGGGTGTCCTGGGGCCAAGGAGGAGGCCCAGGGTCCTGGAGAGGACGTCTTCCTGCCCTTGCTGCTGCGGGACTCACCTGTGGGGAGGCTGAGCCCCTCCTTCTGCCAGGTGACGCTCGGCCGGGGGACCCCTGAGGCCTCACAGGGCAGCAGCACCTCCTCCCCTGCCATGACCCGAACCTCGCTGGGCAGCGGCTTCACCACAGGGGACGCTGAGGAGGCACAGGGGACAGAGGTTCCTGGGGACACTGCCCCACCAGCCCCACCAGCAGGGAGCCTCTCAGGACCAGGGAGAGAGGCTGATAAAGGGAGTGGGTTTCACAAAATCTCTGTAGTAAGAGCGTGTAGGCGCCGGGCGCCGGCTCCACTTTCCTGAAGACTCCCGCGCGGGGGACTCAGATCAGGGGCAGGACCAGGCATCTGGGACCGAGGGCCCCCCTTCACTCCCGCCCACTGCCGCCAGCTGTCCACCCGCCCCCTGCCCCGGGACCCTTACCGTGCACAGCAAGGACCACGTGTTTGCGTGCCATGCCGGCAGAGTTGCGGGCAGTACAGGTGTAGCGGCCGGCATGGATGGGGAGGGCCTGCCCGATCTCCAGGGCACCTGCGGGTGGAAACGGTGCCCGGAGGGATGAAGGGATTGGGGACAGAGGTGCCCAGCCCAACTGTAACCCCTGCCCCCTTGTTAACAGCACGGGGATGAGAGGCATGGGGCCCGGGTTCTAGGCCTGCCTCTGCCCCTGCCTGGGGCACCACTGCAAGCAAGTCCCTCCACCCTCTGGGCCTGTTTCCCCATGTGCACAGTGAAGAATCAACAAGATGGTCTCTGGAAACTCACTGCCCTCCCGGAGTCTCTGGCCCAGGGTTCCACTGCTGTTCTCACCTTGCTCTGCTAAGACCCCACCTCCTCCAGGAGGCCTCCCAGGATTGCTGCCTCCCCTGTCCTCCCCACATCCCCCCTTAGCCCGGGGTCCCCAGCAAGCACCATTTTAACCTTCTCAGAATGCAGGCTGCACCCCAGCTGCTGAGCAAAGAGGTCTCTAAAGTGTCCACTGGGGACCCCTGAGGGCCTGCTGGGCAGGCAAGGGGAGCAAGGCCCGCTGGCCTCTGGACTAGCCCGTGGTCTCGCCCCAGCGGCTTGATTTTCACTGCTGGCTTGGAGCACCCACTAGTGGGAGGGGAGGGTTCTGTTGTTTCCAAACAGCTTGAAGAGCACCCTTCTAGCCAGAGGCCCCAGACTGTAGGATTTCACTATCCCACAATAAATCAAGTCATGGGGGGGTCCCCATAAAGTGGTTAACTTGTTATGTCGACAAAGACATCTAAGACGTCACCCCCTACTGTCCTACACTAGCTTGATTTCATCAAAAGGAACTTTTAATACCCCAAGATCAAGAGCACAACTTCCTAAGAAAGGCAACGCCCCTCATGGGAGCTCTGGGCCACTGTCATGGGCAGCACCAACCTGCCCAGGAGCCTCGGGGTACCGCAGAGGGGCTCCCCCAGAACAGGGCAGGGACTGAGGCTGGCGGGGTGAGGCTGGGGACGGGGAGCTGGACGAGCTCTCCACCCTGTTCCCCCACCTGGGCTCCTTCTCCTGCTGGCCCTCACTCACCTGAAGGCAGGACGCGGTAGCCGCTCCCCCTGGCCCCCAGCTGGGAGCCTGCCTTGCTCCAGGACACGACTGGGGCCGGCACGCCTGCGCTGTGGCACGTGAGGATCACAGGGGCCATCCTGGCCGCAGTGAAGTCCGTCTGGTCATCTGCGATGGTGGGTGGCACTGGAACCCAAGGAGAGGTTTGAGGCCCTGCCAAGTGCGTGGGGACACACAGCTGCCAGGGCAGGGGATGATAACTGTAGACGTGACATGGCTGATGAAAGCCAGGCACTGGATGTGGGCACATCTGCTCACTCGGGAAATACCCCGGGGCATGGGAGGGTCTTGAAGAGCCTTCTGCAGAGAGCTGGCCGGGAACTCGGGGGCTGCAGGAGAGGGGGCTTGGCAGGGCTCACTGGGCCAGACTGCAAGAGGCCAGAGACGGCCTCCAGGACACGGCGTTAAACCTGAGAGCTGAAGCAAGAGCAGGTGCTGGCTGGGTAGAGGATACCACGTGTGCAAAGGTCCCAAGAAAAGGGACAAAGAACCGAACAGCACAAGTGGACCGCAGAGGGGGATGGGTGGTAGGTGAGCTGAGCCTGGAGGCTCAGCTGGGCCGGACCACAGGACGAGTGGGCCCAGGTGAGGGCAGTGGGCAGCCGTGGAAAGGGGGACTCCAACCAGGGTGATGACAAGGACACGCTGGGGTACAACATCGGGGTAGGGCAGGGGCTGCCCTGCAAGCTCCCCTGGCCCGGAGCTGTGCGAAGCCAGGGTTGGGCCAGTGTGGAGAGCGGGGCCCAGGAGAGCTTCCTGGAGAGGGCCCTCTGCACCCAGAAGGGCTGGGAGTCTCCGTGTCAGGGACAGCGCCCGAGGCGTCCCCGCCCACCTGCACCCTGACTCACCCTGCACAGTCACCCGGTACAGCCTTCGGGCCTCGCCCAGCTCGTTGCTCACCACACACTCAAACTGGGCTGAGTCTTGGGGGCCGGGGGCGGCGAGGAGCAGGGCGTTGGAGGGCAGGAGCCTGCCGAGGGACACACGGGGAAGGGCCCGGGGCTGCAGTGGGGCCAGCCTGGCCGACCTGCCTGGCAGTCTGCAAGTGGGAGCCTCACGACCGTTCCCCTCCTGCACCTGCCCCCAGCGTGACTCAGAAGCATCTTCTAGAATAGGAGGTTTCAGCTGCAGGCTTGGGGGAGATCTTCACCCCACCCCGTGTTTCTCTGCAGCCCTGCATGTGCTACGGGAACATCTAAATGACTTCTGTGATGACACACCCAAGTCCCCATCGGGAGGCTGAAGTGTGTTGAGCTCATTTCAGGCATGAACTCCACAGTGTCCCCGTGTCTAACAGGACAGAGTTGGTGCATCAACTGGCAAGCTGACTCCTTTGACACTCCGATGGTCACTGAGTGACCAGCTCCCACTCCAGCCGCAGTCTTGTTCTTGGTGTGCTTGCTTGGGCGTTGCTGGATTGACCCGGGGCCTCAGGCATGCTGGGCCACACTCCTGGCTGCCTCATGTTTGGTTTTGATACACCTTGGCTGTAGGTCCCAAACCCCTTGCCCCATGTCAGGCAACTCTGTCTGCCTGAGGATAAGGCCCTCCTGGGCTCTGGTCCTGGCTCAGGAAGACCCGAGCACACACTGCCTGGCTGCTGAATGGCCTGCTGTGTGAGATGGGCACACCCTCCCCACTGCCTGTGGCTCGGGAAGGCCCAGGTCCACCTGCGTCCTTACCGGTAGGCGCCCTGCTGCAGGTGGAAGTCCAGCTTCTGTCCATCCTTCCACCAGACCACCAGAGGCTTGGGGGAGCCACTGGCCTCACAGGGCAGTGAGGCCGGGCTGTGGGCAGTCAGGGTCACATTGGAAGGGCCAGGGGCGATGACTGGAGGCTCTGGGGAGAGGCAGGCGTGGGATGGGGGTCTGGGCTGCCTGAGGCTGTGCCAGAGGCCAAGCCCGGGTTTGGGGGGTGCTCATTACCATCTTCATCCCGCCTCCCAGGGGCAGCAGGAGAGATGGCAGGGGGACCCCCTCCAGACTCCACCAGCTGGGGATGGGCTTCTCCTCATGCCTGACCCCTCTCCTCGAGCGACTCCCCATCAGCCCCAGCCCCAGGCCAGGGCCATCTAGAGTGGTCACCAAGGTGATGTGCTGGGTTAGGAAGAGAACTTTAATTGCAACACCTAGTTCAGTGATTCGACCTCTGGTGCATGCTTCATGGCTCACCAGAGCAGTGTGTGACGTGTGTGTCAATATAAACACGCAGCCCTCGCAGGTGCATGCTCACAACTTTTTACTACAGGTCGAGAACATGGGAGACTATGTTGGGAGACTTGAGGGCCAGGGGCGGCGAGGAGCAAGGCATTGGAGGACAGGAGCCTGCCGATGGACACAGGGGGAAGGGCCTGGGGCTGCAGGACAGCGGGGGGACACAGGACCAGAAACCCACAAGGACCGGATGCGGAAGGCAGGGAGCAGGCCCTCCCTAGTGCACCTACCCAAGACCTGGAGGTCACGGCCCTGTCGGTCAGAGCCGGCGGAGTTGGAGGCCAGGCACAGGTAGTGGCCAGCATCCTGGGTGAGGACTGGCTGGATCCTCAGAGAACCCTCGGGCAGAACTTCCAACCTGGAGCCCAGGGAGGGTTTGCGATGGAGACCCTCAAACAAGTGTGGCGTTGAGAGGGGCTACATCCCTGATTATCTCCAACAGGACCCTCCCTGCCCCAGCTTTCCCAGCAGACGGATCCGACTCGGGACTCAGAGGCTGCTACTCTTTCTGGGCAGGGCACCAGGACTGCGAGGTGACCCTCCCTAAGGGCCAAGGCTGTTCTGCATAATCCCGCCCCCCGCCACAGGTGATTGGACCAGGGATAGACACCTCACTCAGCTGGGCCAATGGCTTTCTCTGCCCTGAGAGCTGGACAACTGGGGCCATGAGTGGCCTTCGATGTCCCACCTGGAGTTCCCGGGATCCAGTGGCGCCCCATCCTTTCGCCAGCTCACGGCGGGCGGGGGCGTGCCACGGGCCTGGCAGGGCAGCAGGGCGGTCTGGTTCACAGAGGTGTTCACCACAGATGGTCCGGGCTGGATGGTGGGCACAGCTGGGGAGGGCACAGAGGGAGTGGCTGGGAACCCGCGGTGGCTCTACGGGGTGGGCGGGGGGCGGGGCACACTCACTGTGGATCTCCACACGGAAGGCCACGCTGGAGCTGCCCGCATCGTTGTGAGCAGTGCAGCTGTAGTCCCCGCCGTCCGCTGTGCTCAGGGCCTGGAGCTGGAGGAACCTGCCCTCCTCGGGGAACTGCGTGTGGGCGTCCGCCTGCAGAGCCCCACCAAGGTGGGGAGGCCTCGTCAGCACAGGCGGGGCCAGGCCAGCTCTTGGCACCAGACAGGGAGGACCCATGGGCTGGACAGTGGCTCCTGCCCCATCCTGGCTGCAGGCCCTGACTCACTGCCCAGCTGAGGTCCTCTGAGGCACTGGGCACCTCTGGGGAGTACCCTGTCCCCGGAGTTCCCACTAGATGACCCGCCACCTTAGTCCACAACTGCAAACTGGCCCCATGTGAGGGATGAGCACAGAGAGCCTCAGTTACTGGCCTTAGGTCACACAGCCACTAGGTACACCTGGAGGGACCATGGAAGAGCAAGGTGTGTGCCTCAGAAGCCCCGTCCACAAAAGGGGATGACAACAATAACCGCAGTGGAGTCATGTGCAGAGTGGGCCTCCGTGGTGGGAACGGAATCCGTTGGTTTGGGGGCTGAGGCCTGAGGGGGCAGAGGGTAGTGCCTGGGTCCCCAGCCTGGCACTCACCTGCAGCAGGATGCCGTCTCGGTGCCACTCGATCTTGGGCATGGGCTCTGCCTCCACAGAGCACTCCAGGACCAGCTGGCCAGGGGCCAGGCCAATCACAGAGCGGGGCCCGCGGGGCCCAATGACATTTGGAGGGGCTGGGGGTGCAAGAGGAAGTGAGAGGTGGGCCCTCTGCGGCAGACCCCATCCTGCCTCCACCCCTAAGCCCCCTACCTTGAACCCTGACCCGGAAACTCTTCTCCACTTTTCCTGCAGGGTTCTCAGCCAGGCAGGTGTACAGCCCAGCATCACTGACCTGTGGACACAGCAGGATGAGCGGCTGCCGCTGGCCCCCACTGCCCGCTGCCAAGCTAGCCTGTTTCTACTCAGCAAAGGGCCAGATCTGGGCTCCAGTCTGCAGAGGCTGCTGCCCCGCCTCCCAGCCTCCCGCTCCCCACCTCACTCCCACTCTGAGGATGGAACAGGCTGCTTCTCCCAGGAAGCCCCCCGACTGCACCAGCCCCCCTCTGGCCTGGATGAGGAGTTATCTGGTATCTCCTTCAGTCTGAGTTCTGCAGGGCTGGGAGCACCCAGGGCCCAGTGGGCCGTCTCCACCCTCTCAAACCCCACGCAAAGGACAGTCAGCCTTCCCTTGGCACCTGACTACTGAACTGGGGAAGCTGCAGACCCCCTCCTCCCAGCTCCCAGCCCCATCCCACAGCGGGCAGGGACCGGCACCTGCACGGCCTCCACCCGGAGCGCCTGCCCGGCGGAGCTGTGGTCCTCCAGGGCCCGTTCATCCTTGTGCCAGGTGACGTTGGGTGGGGGCATGCCTTGGGCGTCACACAGGAGCTCCAGGGGGGCTCCCGGGGCTAGCGACAGCTCTGCAGGCTGGCCGGAGTCTTCAATGTAGGGGGGATCTACAACACCCCAGGCTGGGTCAGCCGTGCTGCAGGCTGGGGGTCCTCTGCCCCTGCACCACCCAGTGCTGAGAGCAGAGGGGGCCAGAGGCACGTGAGTGGGGGGCTGGGGGGCCTGGAAACATCAGGAGCCGTGGGTCCACCTGCCTGGGCAGCTAGTTGTACTTTAGAACCAGCGAGGACACAGTGCGGGGGACACAGTTGCCACACACTTTTCCAATGTAGCCCAACATCAAGATTTAGGGAGGGCTCAGCCCCCAGATTTTGGTGGCTTCTGTTCTCGCTTCTGCTGCCAAAGTTTGGTGGACAAGACAGTGGGACACAGCCCGGAGAACAGACATCCGGCCTGCGAGCCCCTGCCAGTGGGGCCAGCAAGATGCCCAGGCAGAACCAAGCCCTCTGAGCCTGCAGGAGCCCTGGGCTCCCCACCGCCTATGCACGCGTCCCCAGAGTCCCTTCTCCCTCCGGCCAGAGAGCCCTGGAGGACCGATGACCCACCCATCACGGTCAGCTGGAAACGTCTCCGCGCCTCGCCGGCCTCGCTCACGGCCACGCAGGAGTAGGTCCCCGAGTCGCCAACCCCCACCGTCCACAGCTGCAGGCCAGGCCCCTGCTCCAGGCTCTGCGGCAGGAAGGGCTGCCCATCCTTCACCCACGACACGAGGGGCGGGGGGCTGCCCCGGGCCTCACACGGGAGGACCACCGAGGAGCCCCGGGCCACCACGACATCATTCTGGAACTCCACCGGCTCCAGGATGGGGGGCTCTGTGGAGGGGGAAAGGGCAGGTACCGTTTTATTCCACAATAGGCAGCCCTCGCCCAGGACCTTTACACAAACCCTCCCTAATGACCCCATGCCCGCCTCCTGGGCATGGCTCTCACCTCCAGTACCCGGCTTCACCACACCCTGAGTCCCAGAGGCAGGGCAAGGTGCCCTCCCCTGCGGTCCCCCAGCAGCCTCCCCATCCCCTGGTGGAGCTGGGCTGGCCCCTTTGCACCCCGCCGGACACTGGTGCCTGGCAGGGCCCTGGAACAGCTGGATGTCTGACCACTGCTCGTGAGACAGACGGGTGAGCAGAATCCAAGGCTGTGGACAAGTCTTGCTCAGCCTCGAAGCCCTGAGGCCAACCCTGGGCAGGGCTCGAGGGCCTTGATCCTCACTCACCAAGGTCAAGGGACCCGTGTGCCCACCCCGGTGCGTACCGAGCACCTGCAGGGTGAAGTTCCTGTCGGCCACTCCTGCCGGGCTCACGGCCACGCAAGCGAAGGTGCCGGAATCTTCCAGGTGCACCTGAGAAATCCTGACCCCAGGCTCCCCAGGTGGGGTGGCGGGCAGGCGGGAGACAGGCGGGGAGGACGCTCAATCCAGACGCCCCTCCCCGTGCCAGCCTGTCTCTCAGTGCCCAGCCTCTGTGAAGACCCCTTTCCTGGCCCCCGGATAAACCTGCGCCCTGCCCTTGCTCTGCTCCGTCCCCTCTGGCCCACCCTGCCTGTGGCCAGGGCGCCGTGTGCCCGACCCTGGCAGCGCTGGGGACCTGCCTGGGCTGTCCCCGTCCACCGCTCCACCTTCTGCCCCTCCTCTCCCACAAGCCCCTTCCACCCGACCTCCCCTCCCAAGCCGCTCTTGTCACAGTGCAGAGATGGCCCTGGTGACCAAGCTGACCACCAGCTCGGGCCTGGCTCCTGTCGTGCAGTGGGTGTCCCTCCTGAACCCGTCTTCCCGCCTGCACCCCTGGATCTTCTCCCCTGCTGCGCCCCTTCCCTGGGTCCTTGGGGTCGTCCTAACCCAAGCAGTGGGTGCAGCCCACTCGCTCTGGGCCGGTTGAGCCAGTCCCGGCGTCCAGTGTCACCCTGCTCTGACAGTCCCCAAATGTCTATCTCCCTGAACTCCAGATGGGAGACCAGCACTGCCGGCATCACCCTGGACGTCTGAGGATCCCTCAGCTGCCTGGTCATCGGGACCAAAGTGGAGTCACTTTGGTCAAGGCCACCCACAAAAACAAGCCAAGGAAGGTGGGTCATGAAGGAGGGCTCTCACTGGCCACCGCCCGACAGTGACTGTCACAAGAGGCTTCACCAGGAGCACCACTGCGCCCAGAACACACTTGGGCAAGACCAGCTGTCCAGCAGGCCGGCGGGCACTGGGGCAGGCAGCCGAGTGCCCTTGTGGCCATGGATCCTGTTTGGAAGCCTCGCAGGCAGCCCTCGCTCTCTTTGAAAGTCCCCTGCCTCGGCCTCTTCCAGCTGTTCACAGACAGGCCTCGTCACCTCCTGAGCATCTCCTCTGCTGCCACTTAGGCTGACATCCCCAGGCACTGGGAGAGCGCTGCAGCCTGCTCCCCACAGCGCCCGCTCAGAAAACAGGACTCAGCCTCCCAGGGTGGACTGAACACCTCAGGTCAGACTCAGCCCGTGGGAGTCCAGCCACCGCCTCGTCTCTTCCTGATCTCGGAACTCCACCAGCCGCTCTCCAAACATGCCCGCGACCTGCCCACGCCACGGCTCTGACCCTGGGGGCTGCAGTGACCGTCTGCCTTCCCAGCTCTGCCCTGGGGCCCCGGCCTGCTGTCCATGCTGCAGCGAGAAGGACCCGAAAGGCCCAAGCGACAGCCCCAAGGGTTGATGTGAACCCGTATCTGCGCCCCGTGCTCCTGAGCACCCAGGTGCTCTTGGACCTGCTGTCCCTCTGCCTGCACCTCGTCACCCATCCTGAGCGCCCTAAAATAGTACCCTCCTCGGCCCCTTCCCCTGCCCCCGCCCCCAGAGCTTGCCCTGCCTATGCCTCCCCAGAGCACACACTGCTGGTGACACGTCCTTCTGTATGCTAATGTTCTGTACCTGCCTGGCACGTGACATGCAGGGACATGGGCTGTGTCGTGCTCACTGCTCTGCCAGGGCCTGGAACTCTGCGTGGAACAGTAAGCACTTCATAGGGTCGTTGGATGCATGAATTGGCTCAGGCACCTTCTTTCAGAAAGCCCTCCCTGATTTTCTCCATCTGTCCAGGCTGAGTCAGGCAAGACACAGTGCTTCTGCCCACTCTGTGCCATCCCCAGCAAGCTGTCCGAGCACTGAGGGCAGAGGACCCTTCCTTTCCAGAGCTCCATCTGGGGGTGGATCCCCTCTCTCTCCTCACTATCAAATTCTGTCTGTTGCTACTATTTTTATTCTAAGACCCGAGCAGAAGCATTTTAAACCAAGCTGCCTGTTCGTCTGGGGCCTGCGGCTGGTGGCCAGTGGCTGAAGCCTGTCCCCTACCTGAGGGTGCGACCAGAGCTGTGGAGGAGGGTGCGTTGGGAGAGCGGGAGGGGCAGGCCGTCCTTGAGCCAGCTCATGTGGATGGGCGGAGAGCCCTGGACAGGGCACGCCATGGTCACCATCTCCCCCGGCCTGCTCACCAGGGTCCCTGCGCTGCCTGCTCCCTGATCAATGGTGGGAGGAACTGGGGGAGGCAGAGGAAAGAGGGTGATGGGGGCCTGGGGAAAGGGGCTCCCAGGGCACCCAGGGGCCTGCCCAGACCTTCTGCCACCAGCAACCAGTGTGCTGGGGGTTCCCAGAGCCTTTTGCACCCCCACGAGGGGTGAGCCGCTGTGGGGCACAGCCTGGCCCCAGCCCTCTCGTCTCCCTTTATCCCCAGACTCAGCTGCACCCTGGGCTGGAGGATGAGGCCGGGAGGCCCAGGAAGGTCAGAGTGGGTGTCACCCAAACTTGAACCCAGGTCTCCCTACCGTGTCCTCCTGTGGCCCTCCAGCTGCCCCCAAGGGGGCCCCATGTTGGCCGGGCTGCTGTGGCCTGGGACCCTGGGCCTGCTCCTACCCAGCACGTTCACGGTGTGCAGCCTGGCGTCCTCCCCAGCCGAGTTGTGGGCCACGCAGGTGTAGGCGCCCGAGTCCGAGGCCCTGAGGCCCTTCAACACCAAGGAGCCGCCGTCCAGGTAGAACCTGCCGCAGGGAGACGGGGAGGGATTGCCGAGGACAGGTGCCTGTGGGCCGGAGGCCCTGCCTCCTGGGGAGGGCACGTGGGCCTTACCGGAGGTGGGGGCCTGCGCCCTGGCCCAGCGGGCTGCCGTCCTTCAGCCAGGCCACGTCGGGAGGCGGCTGCCCCTCGGCCTCGCAGTCCAGCCGCACCTCCTGCTCCTCCAACACGCTGTGCTCCTGCGCAGTGCCCGAGCTCCTTATCCGGGGGGCCTCTGTGACAGGGGCAGTGTGAGGCCCGGGGCCGCGGCAGGGCTACCCTGGAGGGTGTTGGAGAGGGGTGGTGGGCGCAGCCTACCCAGCACGGCCACCACGAAGTCCTTGCGAGCCTCGGCCAGGGCGTTCTCCGCCACACAGGTGTAGGTGCCAGCCTGGGCCGGCTGCAGGCCGCTCAGCTGGAGGCGGCCTCCCCGAGAGACCACACGGCGCTCCACGTTGCTCTCTGCAGGGCGGAGAGGGCCGTGAGTGCCCCGCGAGCTCGTGAGCCCGTGGGGAAGCAGGGCCCTGGGCAGGGCTCCTCTTCACACGTCTCCCCCTGCCTCAGCTCCTGACCGCGGTTCCTGTCAACCCCTATGTCCTTGCACAGCGACATCTCTCTCCACGGGACCCAGTGTCCAGGACCTGCTGCAGGCCCAGCTCTCACCCCACTCACCCTCATAGCAGGTCAGGTGTGTCCACCTCCCAGCAGCAGGCGCTGCTCTTAGACCCTTCACCAAAGGTAAACCTGAGGGACACGGTCCCTCCCACACCTGTCCAGGCTTCTGAGCAGGTGAAGCAGCCACTCACTGACCCCACGTGGGTCACTGGGCCCCCGGGGGCTCTGCTCGCTAGCAGGGAACGCATCCTCCTTCTTCCTCCCCAGACGCCCTTCTACACCCCTGCCCTGAAGCCTCTCTGGCCGCCCGCCCTGCGGTCCACCGGACCTTGTTCTCGTCCGTCCAGCTGGTTTTAGCACAGAATGCCCCGCCAACGTCCTGTGCCTGACCTGGAGCCCGGGCGCCCCTGGCAGCCTCCCCTGGGCCTCAGCCTGCACTAGGCAGAGCTCGTCCCTGTCTGGCGGGGGCTGACTGAGGCCCCATGCCGTGACCCTCCAAGCCCCCAACAGGTGAGTTCTGGGCGTTTGGGCTGGGACCAGTGACAGGAAAGACACCAGGGGAGGGCCTCCGCACACTGCCAGCCTTGACTTGGTCAAGTGAGAACATCAGTGACCACCAACTTCCCGGGGGCTTCGTGGCCCCTGCTTTGCAGTGGAATTCAGGGGGGCAGTCCACTCACCCACGGGCATTCTGTCTTTCAGCCACGTAACAGTGGGCGCGGGGACCCCTGACACATCACAGGCTAGGACCAGCGGGCTCCCCGCCGTCTGGCTCACTGTCTCCGTCTGGGGGTTCTCAAACGTTGGGGGCACTGCAGGAACGAAGCCAGAATACAGAGCCCTGAGGCTCTTCCTCGTGTCCTTCCTCCAGGCAGATCGGAGGCCTGGAGCCCCCTCCCCTACGGTTAGGAGCTCAGAAACCTCCAGAGCAGGGACCCCCCAGACAGGCTCAGTCTGCACGGCGTGGGGAGGGGTGGTTTTAGTCACACATGGATCAAGAAGCAGCTGCTGGTTATTCAGTGAGAAAGCCGAGCGCAGGCAGCGTCCATTCAGCCCCAGGTGAATGCACGGCTCAACACCACAGCCCTGAACCTGTGCCAGGACAGGCATCACTAGTCAATCCCAGCAAGCTCCTGCTCAGCCAGGATGAAGCTGTGCACCCAAGAAGGCGTCACCAGTGGAACACAGTCACCTGCCCTCCCACTGAGGCAGGTCAGGAGGGGCTGTGGGCCTGGAGCAGCGCCCGGGTGTAAGCCATCGTCGAGGGTCACATTCGGTATGGCTCAGGGTGGGATGCACCGGCTGCTGGCCTGGCTGAGGCAGACAGCTGTGTCCCCACCCCACAGCCTGCACCTCCCCTGCTGCAGCACAGCTCTAGCTGAGCGCTGGTGAGTGAGGACAGCTGCCCTCCCAGCCTCTGTGCCTGTGGGGGACAGCCGCCCAGCACGCACACCGGCCCTCTTCCCTGCCTCCTGCAGGCAGGACGGGACGCAGTGTCCCCACATCAGCCACGTGAACAGGGACAGTACCCTAAGAGGCCGGACTAACAAGGGGACAGGAACCTGGAGGCCCAAAGGACAGAGGAGCCGAGTGGCCCCCGCACAGACACCGTCCCCCAGGTGGCCCCTGCACAGACACCCCCAGGGTCTGTACGGGAGGCAGACTTTGTTCTCCTTTAGTCCCCGTATGCGGGTTCTTCCGTCCCACAGCTAGGTTTGTCTACACCCTGACATAGCTGACCCCGAGGAACCTGGCCCTGCTCCCCGGACAGCTTGGACAGGTCCCTTCACCTCCGCTTGAGAACACGTCCTGTCAAATGCCCCCTATGTTCTGCCCCAGGGCTGGTGGGACATGAGGCGCCATGCTCAGGCCTCCCACCCCAGTGCCAGGTGGCCAGCTCTCATAGCAGGTCAGGTGCGCCCAGCTCCCAGCAGCAGGCGCTGCTCTTAGACCCTTCACCAAAGGTAAACCTGAGGGTCACGGTCCCCCCATTAAGCCCCACAGAGCAGGTCACTGGGGTCCTCTTTGGGTCCTGCGAGGTCTACTCTTTGGCACCTGGCCACGCCACCTCCTTCCAGCCATCGTCCACCTCATCCTTGGCGGCCTGGTGCTCCGGGGGCTCCTGGCCCTGCTGGCCAGGCCGCAGCTTACCCTGGACGGTGAGGATGAAGGTCCGCGTGGCCTCCCCCGCCGCATTCCTGACTTGGCAGCTGTACACACCCTTGTCCGACACCTGAGGCGGGAAAGGCACCTGAGGCCCTGCAGCGGGGGAGGTGCCTGGCGCCCCCACAACACCCAGGCCTCAGAGACCTCCAGAGCAGGGACCCCAAACAGCCAGTCCTGCTTGGGCAGCCATGGACATGGGGGCCTCTGGCCTTTCCTAAGAGCTCCAGGAGGCCAAGGGAGGCCCAGGGCCAAGGCCCAACTCCCTGCGGAGCTGGAGCTCGGCAGGAGGAAGGGCCAACAGTCCACGGCAGACCCTCGAGGGTGTCTGACCACACCAGAAGGGAAGGGCCCTGGGACAGACTCCTGCAGCCTCAGACGGTCAGCCATGACCTGGAAAAACTCT